GCCAAGGCCTTGGCATGCCCTCTAGCCAAAAGCCACCTCCCTGCCACCACGGTAACATCTCCCAACGGGGCGGTCCCAATCCCTGCCATCAGATTGGCAAAGGCATGCCCTGCGGCCCATGCAGCACCCCACTGCAGTCAGCTGGGCAGATCTGATCACTGCACTGGGGCCCTGGCGCTAACGTAGCCAAGCAAGAGAGACCCGTGACTTCAGCACTGGGTAACGCGGCGAGGGGCTACGGGTCTGGAAGGCAGGACTGCAGACTAGATGTATCAGGCTGTGGACTCTGAGTCCCAGCACTGAGCCAGGGCTGGGCTCCCATCGAAAGGGAGGCCACCGGGCGATCAGGTAGAACCACCTGGCTGAGTGGGGGAAGAGGCGTAACGAGCCATGGCCAATAAGGTCGTGAAAGCGTAACCCTGTAAACGGTTAACGTTCACGGCGACGCAGGCTCCTGGTACATTTTAAGCCAGCTCCCGGGGAGCTGCCGGCTGCCCTCTGCATGTCACCACTGAAATGTTCATCCATCACCCGCCTACTTCCATGTATTGTAACACCCCTAAGGGCCAATGCCAGGGATACGCGCGCTCTGCACCTGCGCGACTCCCGCCTGCTCACCAGGGAATATTCCAGGTTGGCATTGTGATTGGCCACGTGATTCAAAATGTCAGCCATGGGCACCATCATGGGAGGGTTGGGCTCCTTCTCATCCTCGTCCTCCTCATCCAGTGGCTCCTGGAAGCTATTGGGGACGGGAGGTGAGAGCAAGCAGAGTCCCAGCCTTGCCCATGCGGGGCTGGCCGGCTACACTGGAGGGCCCGCCGGTAGAGCTCCAGCGTGTGCCGCTGGGGGTCGAAGACGTCCAGGTGGGACTCCATGAAGGGCAGGATGATGGAGGTGTACTCCCGCTGGATGCTGGCCAGGTCTTTGTCCACCGCTTCGAGGACGCCAGTGCCTTGGAGGAGCCTCACCCGCTCGGCTTCTGGCCTGCATGGGGGCAGGCAGGGCAGCAGCTGTCCCATCGGTAGAGCTCCAGCGTGTGCCGCTGGGGGTCGAAGACGTCCAGGTGGGACTCCATGAAGGGCAGGATGATGGAGGTGTACTCCCGCTGGATGCTGGCCAGGTCTTTGTCCACCGCTTCGAGGACGCCAGTGCCTTGGAGGAGCCTCACCCGCTCGGCTTCTGGCCTGCATGGGGGCAGGCAGGGCAGCAGCTGTCCCATTAGCTCCCCACCCCACGCAGGGAGGGAGTGTCTTCCTCCTCTGTGGCCTCCCCACCACTGCCGTCTGCATGGGGCCAGCCCGGGCCCCGCACCAACGACCCTGCCTGGCATGTCGCCCACCGTATCCCCCGGACCAAGCTATGTCCAGACATGCCTAGCCCCAGGGCGGCTGATCTGGGGAGGGCAGGAGGCACCTAGCCCGGAAGAGAACCAAGGCCAGACCAGCGCTGTATCCCCAAGCTCACCCCGACTCCCGGGGGACAAGGACGGAGTCCCGGCTGCTTGCGCGGGGAGGAACCCTACCAGAACATGGGGTGGTCCATGCTGCTGAAGTCAGGCCAGAGCGCAAAGTAGGGGCGCCACTGGGAGTCGCTGGCCGTGTATTCGTGCAGCAAAGCCAGGAGGAGCGGCACCCAGCCAGACTGGCTCTCCAGAGATGCTTCGTCTAGGGAGCCAAACACGCAGGGGTGAGGCGAGAGGAACACGCTGGGCGCCCGGGGCCTGTTACTCCTGCAGCGGGGGGCCAGAGCCCTGGGCTTTTGAGAGCCCAAGTCCCAGCAGTCCCCGGCTCCCTGGCAGATGGGGGAGTTGAAGGAGGGATTCAGACTAGCCACTCTGGTTCCCCCAGGCTGCCTGGCGCAGACGAGAGCCCGGTGACCACTAAGTCCCCTTCGCTGCTCCCGAAATCCTCCGACTCCCATGCAAGAATCCCCGGCCCACCCACAACCGGCACGGCCATGGCTTTGCTTTCGCTGCCTCAGCTGAAACAACGGGGCTAACGTGGCGACAGAGCAGCTGAGGCCCCCGGAGAAATCGGGACAATCAAAAAGTAACCAGCTTAGCAACACTCCCAGCTCTCAAGAACTTGGTTCCACCCATCTCGGCGAGGTGGCTGCCAATCGAAGCCGCCCAGCGGGCTCAGCGCTCTGCCGCGGGCCCGGCTCCCGTACCTGTCTCCAGGAGGGACCGAATGGAGGTGGTGTGCTGGGACAGGAGCGCAGCTCTGGGAACGCTGAAGAGGACCTCTCCGATTTGCAGGTCCTCGCCGGCCAACAGGCCGTAGTCTGACACCGTGCCCTCTCTGCTCACGTAGACCTGTGGGCGAGGCGCCGAGAGGACCCCCGTGAGAACCTGCTGCAGGACGGGCGGTGGGGAAGGGCGTGCAAGGGAAACGAAGCCGAGAGGTCAGGAGAATAAATCTAAGCGGCATCTGTGGAAGCCCAGGCGCCTAATCGTGTCCCTGCCTTGGCCCAGGGATTTCCCGCCGGTGTGAAGAGCCGGTTGGGGTGGTTTTTTTTTAAACAAACCAATAGCCAACCGCTGGCTGCCCCCTTGGGAAGTGACTGGAAATCACCACTCAGCCTCGCTGCTTCCTGGCTGGCCATCCCAACCCCTCCCCCCTCATCCCTGCAAGTCCTGGGATCACCTTGCCCCTGGAAAGCCGGTTCTTGGCCTATCAGCCCAATAGGCTGCAGATACTGCGCCAGGCATCTGGGTAAGGACCCGACCCCCATCATCTCAATTCTCCTACCTTCGGGCTGAGCTCCAGCCCAACCTTCTTACACCACGCCAGGAAGCCGGAAACGCCGTCCTCAGCGGGGCTGCCCCCTGTGACCACCTGTTGGGACAAGGACGGATCAACCACTCGATCGCCTGGCAGAGGAGGGCGGGACCCCAAGAGTCCTCGCCTGGGCATGTTAGACCCAATTGACACAGCGGAAGCACTAGGGAGCAGTGGACGCAACAGGCCAGACATTAGGAGGCCTGGGTACTGTTTCCAGCAAAGCCAGGATCAGGCAAATCATTTCACTGCCTGGTGCCTCAGTTTCTCTGTCTCAGGGTGATCCAGCTGCTCACCCAGCTCTGTAAACAGCTCTGAAATCTATGGACAGCGTGTTATTAGCCATCCCTCTAGCTGCAGTGGGATACCCTTGTTTCCTTCACTTCCTGCTGGGCGCTTCTACACCCCAGTAGTTGTTTTCTGGCTGTATTCCTACAGGGGCAAAAGTGCTGTGGGATGAAAGGCAATATGTACATATGCAAGATCAGCAGCAGCAGACAGGCTGGTCGTGGTTCTCTCTCCCACCATCGGCCCTTCCTGCAGCGAAGGAAGAGGAGAAGGACAGGAACCTCTTTGCTGTGACCAGATGTGAACCGGAAGGGAAAAGATCTCGGACACATTTAAAATGGGTTTAGTCACTTCCTGGGGTAGGGCTTCTGCTGCACTGCACATGCGCAGGCAGAAGACGAGTTGTTATTGCTCTTAGATTCAACAAGATTAAAGGTCTAGAGAACAGGAGCTAGGAGGGAAGGCTGAAAGAATTGGGTTTGTTTAGTTTGGAAAAGAGAAGACTGAGAGGGGACATGAGAGCAGTTTTCAGGTATCTAAAAGGGTGTCATAAGGAGGAGGGAGAGAACTTGTTCATCTTGGCCTCTGAGGATAGGACAAGAAGCACCGGGCTTAAACTGCAGCAAGAGAGGTTTAGGTTGGACATTAGGAAAAAGTTCCTGCCTGTCAGGGTGGTCAAACACTGGAATAAATTGCCCAGGGAGGTTGTGGAATCCCCATCTCTGGAGATATTTAATTGCAGGTTAGATAAATGTCTATCAAGAATGGTCTAGACAGTATTTGGTCCTGCCGCTTCTCCCTTATCCACAAGACTCGTTATCCTAACAAAGAAAGCTATCAGATTGGTGTGACATGATTTGTTCTTTACAAATCCATGCTGGCTGTTCCCTATCACCTTGCCACCTTCCAAGCGTTTACAGATGATTTCCTTAATTACTTGCTCCATTATCTGCCCTGGCACAGAAGTTAAACTAACTGGTCTGCAGTTTCCTGGGTTGTTCTTATTCCCCTTTTTATAGATGGGCACTAGATTTGCCCTTTTCCAGTCTTCTGGAATCTCTCCTGTCTCCCATGATTTTCCAAAGATGATAGCTAGCGGCTCAGATACCTCCTCTAACAGCTCCTTGAGTATTCCAGGATGCATTTCATCAGGACCTGGTGACTTGCAGACATCTAACTTTTCTAGGTGATTTTTAACTTGTTCCTTTTTATTTTATCTTCTAAACCTACCCCCCTTCTCACTATGCCAGGCATTCCTTCAGACTTCTCGGTGAAGACCAAAACAAAGAAGTCATTAAGCATCTCTGCCATTTCCAAGTTTCCTGTTACTGCTTCTCCCTCCTCACTGACCAGTGGGCCTACCCTGTCCTTGGTCTTCCTCTTGCTTCTAATGTATTTATAAAAAGTCTTCTTGTTTCCCTTTATTCCCGTAGCTAGCTTGAGCTCATTTTGTGCCTTTGCCTTTCTAATCTTGCCCTGCATTCCTGTCTTGTTTGCCTCTATTCATTCTTTGTAATTTGTCCTACTTTCCATTTTTTATAGGACTCCTTTTTTATTTTTAGATCATGCAAGATCTCCTGGTTAAGCCAAGCTGGTCTTTTGCCATATTTTTTATCTTTCCGTCGCAGCGGAATAGCTTGCTTTTGGGCCCTTAACAATGTCCCTTTGAAAAACTGCCAACTCTCCTCAGTTGGTTTTCCTCTGTCTTACCAAAATCCACCTTCCTGAAATCCATTGTCTCTATTTTGCTGTTCTCCCTTCTACCCTTCCTTAGAATTGTGAACTCTAGGATTTCATGATCACTTTCACCCAAGCTGCCTTCCACTTTCAAATTCTCAACCAGTTCCTCCCTATTTGTTAGGATCAAATCTAGAACAGCTTCCCTCCTGATAGCTTTTTCATCCTTCTGAAATACAAAGTTGTCTCCAATGCAGTCCAAGAACTTATTGGATACTCTGTGCCTCACTGTGTTATTTTCCCAGCATATATCTGGATAGTTGAAGTCCCCCATCACCACCAAATCTTGGGCTTTGGATGATTTTGTTAGTTGTTTAAAAAAAGCCTCATCCACTTCTTCCACCTGGGTAGGTGGCCTGTAGTAGACTCCTAGCATGACATCACCCTTGTTTTTAACCCCTTTTAGCCTAACCCAGAGACTCTCAACACTTCCGTCTCCTATGTCCATCTCTACCTCACACCAAGTGTGTTCATTTTTAATATACAAGGCAACATCTCCTCCCTTTTTTCCCTGTCTGTCCTTCCTGAGCAAGCTGTACCCTTCCATATAAACATTCCAAACATTTTGTGCAAAAAGAAACAGCAGAAAATATTCTAATGAGATTGTGACTCATGCAAATTTGTTAGCATATTTTTTTCCAGAAGATTTTGAAATGCAGACATAGCCTAACAGACTAACTCAGCTACCCCCCTGAAACTATTCAACCTAAATTCAGTAATCGCTCCCTCCAGTGGGAAGTTGCTTTGTTCATGTGTTTTTCTCACTCATTCATTCTACAGCATTGTTACTATTGTAGCAAGGTGCGGCTGGTCTTGCATTTTAATCTTCCATAGAGCTGCCAGGCCAGGTCAGACCACGGGGCCCATCTAGCCAGGGTCCTGTCTGTTGACCGTGGCCAATGCCGGGTGCCCCAAAGGGAGTGAATACAACAGGGCAACTATTAAGCAATCCATCCCCTCTCAGCCAGTCCCAGCTTCTGTCAGTCAGGGGCTTTGGGCCACCAGAGCATGGGGTCCCATTCCTGACCATCTTGGCTAACATCCACCAGGAACTTACCTAATGCTTTTTTGAACTGTTATACTTTTGGCCTCCACAGCACCACGTTGGATGTTTACCTCTGGGGTCTTGTTTCAAATATTTTGTTCTGATTTAGACACATACTCATTATTCTTAGATCCTGATTTTCATAGACTCATAGACTTTAAGGTCAGAAGGGACCATTATGATCATCTAGTCTGACCCCCTGCACAGTGCAGGCCACAGAATCTCGCCCACCCCTCTTAGAATAATCCTCTCACCTATGTCTCAGATATTGAAGCCTTCCAATACTTTGAAGGCCCCAACATGCAGAGAGTCCTTCAGCTGTGATCTGTGCCCAATGCTACAGAGGAAGGCGAAAAACCTCCAGGGCCTCTGCCAATCTACCCTGGAGGAAAATTCCTTCCTGACCCCAAATATGGCGATCAGCTAAACCCTGAGCATGTGGGCAAGACTCACCAGCCAGACACCCAGAAAGTTCCCTATAGCAACTCCTATCATCCCTCCATTGACCTATTTCCAACTGGAAATGAATGGTCAATTAGTTACCAAGATCATGTTATTTCATCCAACCATCCCCTTATCATAGAATCAGAACTGGAAGAGACCTCAGAAGGTCGTCAAGTCCAGCCCTCCGCTCTAGGCAGGACCAATCCCATCTAAATCAACCCGGCCAGGGCTTTGTCAAGCCGAGACTTAAATACCTCTAGGGATGGAGACTCCACTACTTCCCTAGGTAACCCATTCCAATGCTTCACTACCCTTCTAGTAAAATAGTTTTTCCTAATATCCAATCTGGACCTCTCCCACCACAACTTGAGACCATTGCTCCTTGTTCTGCCATCTGTCACTACTGAGAACAGCCTCTCTCCATCCTCTTTGGAACCTCCCTTCAGAAAGTTGAAGGCTGCTATCAAATCCCCCCTCACTCTTCGCTTCTGCAAACTAAACAGACCCAAGTCCCTCAGCCTCTCCTTGTAGGTCATATGCTCCAGCCCCCTAATCATTTTGGTTGCCCTCCGCTGGACCCTCAAAGGCATACTTCTCTTCCTTTGTTTTCAACCCACTGCCTGTTTGTGTCAGCAGGGGCGTGTCTACACTGCTCCCTTAGCTCGAAATACGCTGCTCAAGTTGTGCAGCGTATTTTGAGTTAATTTTGAAATTACGCAGCACCAAATTTTGAAACAAAGCGCTATTCCAAAACATCCTTTATCCTTGTGGAACGAGGGCGACAGGGACATCAGAATAGCGAACCTGTTATGTTTCAAAATAACGGGCACGTTTCAAAGATGCGGAATGGCTATTTTGGGATACCGGAAGTATCCTGAAATAGCGCTGCAGTGTAGATGTGATCTCCGTAGCTATCCTTTCGCCCCTTCTCCCCTCCAGTTCTACCCCTTTTCTGAGCTGGGGTGACCAGATCTGCACACACCGTTCAAGGTGTGGTCAGACCACGGATTTCTATAATGACATATTTTCGGTGGATATTTTCAGAGATCTATCCACACTGATGGCAACATTTCTCTCTGTGTTGGTAGCAGTTAATTCAGCCCCCATCTTTGTAAGTATAGTGGGGATTATGTGAGGAAAAACTATTTCCCTAGGAGGGTGGTGAAACACGGGAATGGGATCTCCAGGAAGGTATTTTTAAGTCCGGGCTGGACAAAGCCCTGGCTGGGACGATTGAGTTGGGGTTGATCCTGCTTTGGGCAGGAGTCAGTGATCTCTTCCAGCCCCGCTCAGGCTTCTCTGAGAGTCCTTTGTAACTCTTCATTGTTTGCCTTGCACTTAAGGATCCTGAGTCACTGAATAGCAACTGCAAACTTGGCCCCCTCACCGCTTCCCCCTTTGCCCTAAGATCTTGCATTCAGGCTTTAAGAAATTCTTAAATGCATTTTAAGTCAAGAAGCGGAGGGAGGGGCTGCCTGGTGCTCCCAGCTTGGATATAAAGATTTCAGGGAGGCGGCCGCCGGCCCGAGGTCTCGC